GGGCAGGGCCGGCCGGCGGGCGGGCGACGATGCCGAACTTCTGCGCGGCCCCCAACTGCACGCGGAAGAGCACGCAGTCGGACCTGGCCTTCTTCAGGTTCCCGCGGGATCCGGCCAGGTAAGCGGCGGGCTCCGGGCTGTTCGCCGGGCCCAGCTCCGCGGCGCCCGCTGGCAAACGCTGGCCCCTGGCAGGCTCCGGAGCTGAGAGGGGCGTGGGCAGGGGCACTGCTGTCGACCCCAGCTTTGGGCTTAAGCTGGGTAACTGGCCGCAGGAGGTGGGCGGCCGGACGCCTGGGGATCTCGGAGCACGTGCGTCGGCGGGGGTTCCTCGCGGAGGGCACCACCCGAAATAAGAGACATCTGGGGTGTCACGCCGGCGTCGCACGGAGAGTTTTCGCCCTGGTCGGAGTGCTGTGTGACCTCGGGCAAGTCGCTGTACCCCCTGGGCGTTAGTTTCATCAGCTGTCAAAAGAGTGCATGGGTTCGCTGGTTGTGGTCACCCGGTCCATTCCCCTCTCCTGGCCACAGAGTTTTTGTTTGGAGTCCAGCCCCCTCCTTCGATGTCAAGTCACTATTACTCCTTCCTTCCGACTTGTTCTTTGTTCAGATTCTGGGTCTGTTGCTCTTTAGCTCAGTTATCGAGGGGAGAGCGGGTGGGAGGGAATGCGTGAGGGCTTGGGGCTTGATGTGGAAGCCGCTTCCTTGAGATAACCTACGTGCCCGGACTTAACGATAGGGTACACGCTACTTGAAAACTGAGGATGTTTTGTGGGCCCCTTTTGTTGATTCATTTCAAGGGATACCTACTATGTGCTGGACATTTGGAGGTGAGACACTGTCTCGCTTACAGAAAACTCTTAAGGAGACAGGTGATTGTAATATATAGCGTACTGTTCATTGCACGGATGTTTTTTGAAGGCATACTGTGTGCTAGGCATTGTTCTGAGAACTGGAGGTGTACGGAGGAACAAGTCAAAGTTACTGCTCTCAAGAAGTTTACGTTTTTAGTAGGCAAAACTAGACAAGTAAATATACACTGTCACATAGTGATAAATACTATGGAGAAAAAAAGCGAATATTCGGAGGTGGGGAAATAAAGAGTAGCTAGAGAAGCACAATTGCTAATTTAAATTTAGTGATCAGAGAACCCCTCACTAAGTGAATCTGAGCAAATACCAGATGTAGGTCAGTGGACCAGCCAATGAGATACCTAAGGGAAAAGCATTCCAGCCTGTGGAACGAGTGAATGCAAGTCTAGTGAATGTGTTTTGTGTTTTAAGAAAGAAGGGAGAGGGGAAATGAGACCAGAAAGGTGTATGTGCATATAAGGAGTAAATTGCACAGGATATTTGAGGTCGTGGAAAGTGTTTTATGGCATTTATTCTGAGATTGGACAGCATTGAAAGGTTTAGAACAGAGATTTTAAAAAGATCACTGTAAATAGATTGTATGAAAAGCAAAAATGAGAGCAGAAAGACTAATTTGAAGGCAGTTGCAATAATCAAGGTTAGGAAGGAAGAGGTGGTGAATTGTTGCATTGGAAATGTTTTGAAAAAGAGAAGTTGAGAATATGTCTTAAAGTTTTTAACATGAGCATTTACTGAGATATATGGGTGATTGCTAAAATCAGATTTGGTGGAGGAATATTGACAGTTTAGTTTGTGACATGTAAAGTTTGACATGTCTGTCTTCATGCTCTATCCAGAAATGAATTGAAAAATGACCCATATTTAGATCAGTGACCTAAGTTTTTAAAAGCTAAAACCACAAAACAGAAGAAAACTTAAGGGTAGATTGTCATGATCTTAGGGTTTGCAGAATATTCTTAGATAAAACACCAAATCCATGTATAACAAAGGAAGAAAATAGATGAATTGGGTTTCTTTAGAATTAGCTTTTATTTATCAAAGAACATTATCAGGAAAGTAAAAAAGCAACCAGTGGAATAGAAGAAAATATTTGCAGATCATATATCTGATTAGATTCCAATATGTAGAAACTTACAACTCAACAACAGAAAGGAAAAAAAACAATGGGCAACGAACATGGGTAGCTGTTTCTCTAAATAAGAGATACAGATAACTAATAAGTACATGAAAAGATGTTTCACATCAGTAGCCAAAAGGTGGACACAGCCTAAAAATGTTCATCAGTGAATGAATGATTATACAAATCCTTACAGTGAAAATGGAATATTATTCAGCTATGAAAGGGCATGAAGCACTGCTATATGCTCTTGGGTGAACCTTGAAACATCATGCTATGTGAAAGAATCCAACAAAACCTCACTATTATATAATTCCATTTATGTGAAATGTTCACAATAGATAAATCTGTAGAGACAAGGCAGGTTGGTGATTTCTGGGAACAGGGAGCAATTAATAGATTCAGGGTTCCCTCTTGGGGCTTTGAAAACATTTTCAAAAATTAGATGGAAATGGTGGTTGTACAGCTTTGTGAATATACTTATTGCCACTCTTTTGCACTTTAAAATGGTTAAAATGTTATATTATGCGACTTTAATCTCAATTAAAAAGATATCTTGACTAGACAATAGGATGTACAAGTCTGGAATTCAGAGACTTCCAGACTGGAGATTGTTAAAAATGGTTTTCAGTTTATAGAAGATATTTTCGCCGTGGTACCCAGTGAATAAAGCAGAATAGGTCTGAGTGAGGATTGAACTGTGGCACTTTCCTAGTGTTTAAAATTTAGGAACATGAGGAGGATCTAGCTCCGGAGAGTGAGGAGTTGGATTGTATGAGAGCTGAGAAGAGGGACCTTTTAATCTGATTGGGATTATTCCATTAAACATCTTTCATTTTATACCTGGATTATAGCCCAAGAGAATTGTAGGAGTATATTTCACTTGCACAGTGAGAACACTGCTAGTCTGTTCTGGATCAAAGATTATTTGTGCCCATAATTAGTGAACACTCTTCATTACATTCTTTTGAAAGGAATGTTCAGATCTAGTGCAGTGTTTCTTTAAAGTGCTGGACTTCTCTCATTGGTAGTGACTTTTTAAATCTTTTTTGGGTCACTATACCCTGTTCACTTGACAATCTAACTTAGGGACCCTTACCTGCAAAAAGATAAAAACACAGTTTTGCTGTTAAGGTAGATTGTGGGCCTTATAAAAGCCATTTACATTCCAAATGGATGGACATCTGCCTTTGCTAAAAGTGACTCCAGTGATCCTTCTCTGTATGAGCTGATACTTGAGACACTTCTGGCTGTTTCTTTTTTGTATTAAGTGGGAATCTATTTCCCTATAATTTATACTTTAGAGGTTTAGCTTTGTCTCCAGAGTTATCACTGAGCAAATTGTACCTTTTTTATGTAAGAGCTTTGACTATTTCAAGACCAAATTATGAATTTTATTCTTTATTAAGATATAAGAACTTAACTCTTTGCTGAATTATAATTTATATATAATACAGTTCACCCAACTTAAAATGTACAAGTCTCTGGGTTTTGTTATGTTACATCATTTTTTAAAATTTTGATACAATATAAAAATTTGCCATTTTTAAGTATATAATGCAGCAGCATTAATTACATTTACAATATTGTGCAACCATTCCCTCTATCCATTTCCAGAGTTTTTCATTTTCTCAAACAAAACCTCTGTTACCATTAAATAATAACTCCCCGTGCTACATCCACACCAACTCTAGTACACTTTTAAGACTCCATGAACTTGTCTGTTCTAGGTACTTTGAATAAATGGAATCATACAATAATTGCTCTTTTATTTCTGACTTATTTCTGCAACATAATGTTTCAAAGTCTTAATTTTTTATTCAAACTGAATCTCATATTACAGGATTTTAAGTCCTTGCATGTGATCTTTTTTTTTTTTTTCACTATTCCCAGAGTTAACTACATTTCCAGAGGTGTTCAGTGAATTAATAACAATATTTTAGGGCTATTAATTGTGTTGGGTTTCTTTTAGTAACTGTTGTAAGAAAGGCTGACAAAAGATGACTTTGCCAGCAATTTATTCTTCAAAAGTTAACTAGCAGTAGCACCATTACTGTTAGCTGATAATAAAGATAAATATATTTAAGTGCTAAATATGATGAATGGTGCATTTTCCATTCATCATATTTATAGATTCCATATGCACTTTTAGGAACAGCTATTTAGAAATAATTAAAAAATCAAGAGTAGTTAATAAAGGACACATGGAATTTACATACTATACTATTCTTACTGGTTAGAAAAATGATATTAATACATAACAGACAATACATGGTAGGGTGGTGGCAGAGAAGTTACATTTTACCTCAAATAAAGGTTGAAAGAAAAAACTGCCTAAATCTTGATGGTCCCAGCATGGCTTGACAGAAACCTAGGGCAGTTAGTACCAGTGGTACTCAGCCCCAGGCTAGTTGAAGGTACAAGTAGAGCTGTTGAATTGCTCCTGTTAGAGTGAATTGGGCAATTGAAACTCTCTTTTTCTTCTTCCTCAGGCTATTAGTAGTAACTCAGTCCTTGAGGTGGTGATTTTCCAAGGGCAATTTAACCACAGTTGAGAATTGATGTGCTCTAGCTAGTAAAATGTAATTTGTGGTTTTCCTGGGTACTCCATATAGATACTCAGGATCCTTTCTAAGAGTCCAGAAGATAAAAACTATTTTCATAATAACACTGATTTTATTTGCCCTTCTCATGCTCATTCTCTTTGGTATGTACAGTGGAGTTTTTCAGGGTCTGCATAACATATGATGGCATCATTGTGCTGATCAGTTGTGTATTGTGTTTTCTAACACTTTCTAGTTCTTCAGATGCAGGTGTTTGGTAGACACTTTTTCAGAACTAAGTGAAATCTGCCACTATGAGGAAAACAGCTTATATTAAGCATTCAAGCAAAATTAGGTTTTTGGGGAAATTATGTGCACCAACCTTGAGTTTGATAGCTTTCCAGTATGTAAAGACTTTTGGAGAGATTAGTAGTGACATCAGTAAATGTGACTTTTTAAATATATATTTAAAATATATGCATGATAGATATTGTTGGGATTGTGATAATATTGAATTAGTAAATCAGCTTGGGGAGAATTGATATCTTTAGAATCCAGTGTCCCAGTTCATGAACATGTATGTCCCTTCACTTATTTATTAAAAATTGTTGTTTTTTTTTTTAACCTTTGTAAGTTTTGCATATCTTTCGCTGGATTTATTTTTAGGTTTTTGATAGGAAAACAGTGATAGTCATTTGGTCTCCTTACCCAAGCTGTTCTTAACTGTTTGGATCTGAGTACTCTTCCTATCAGAAAGCTGTTTCAACTTAATTCAGATACAATAGAGTACTCCAGAGATTCAAGAATGAAAAAACAGCAATTTAGCAGTATGGCAAATTGTTTTATAATACACATTTGAATATTGAAATATAAAATGTTTATAATGTTATTGCACCATTGTTTAAAATATGGACATTTTAGCCATCATTACTGTGTGTGATAATACTTTTTGATTGAATGGAATGCTGTACAATTTAGTTGTGGTTTTGCTAGTCAGTATTTCACCTTGGTTTTACACATTGACAGTGAAGGGAATTGTTAGTATGTATGTGGAGACCATGGATTGTAATGTAAAGACTAAAGAAAATATACTTATGGAATTATAAAATCAGTGTTTTCAAATTTGTGACACTGTTCATGGCAGTGTGGAGGAATGAAGGAAAGATCTAGTGGCGACTTTATCAAATCACTGTACTTAACATTAGCATACCTGCATTTCTTCCTCTGCACAGAGGGGCAGTAATAGTACCCCCTTTGGAAGGATTTAGAACAGTGACTGGCTCATAATTGGTAAGCATTATCTATTATTGTTGTTGTTATTTGTTTTTCTGCAGTATTTAAGCCCCAAGAGGCTGTGGACTCTGTCTTGTTCACTATCTTCAGCACCTTCTGTGTTGTGTAGACTAGATTGTATAGAGACCATCCCTGCGTTCTTACGCAACCAAGTCTTTGTAAATGTGTTCGTAATAAGTCAAATGAAGTCAGCCTTCATTCTTCCATAAGAGACTAGTTATTGCTTAGTCTACTGGCTATTTTTCTACAATGACTTTGTTTTATATTCTTAAGTTGAAACTCTGAAAGGAATGTTAGGCTGCTGGCCTTGTGATTATACAACCGCTGATGATGGAGTCCTCTCTGATGCTAGGATGTTCTGGAGGTGGAAAGACAGAATTATGTCTTATTTTTTTTTTACTGCTTATTTTGTAGGTGATTCAGCAAATTACTTCTTGATCTTGTCTATAATTGAATGTACTATTGATTTATAAGATTTTTTCCAGTTCTTTGTTAGTAATTGTCAAATTATGTGTGAGTAGAGGGGAGCAGGAGTCTTTTGTCCATTATACATATATTTTTGCCTTATAACCGAGTGCTGAAATTTAAATCTTGAGCTTTTATTTCATAAATTTTGGTTGTATTTCTAGATGCCAGAAGTGGGTGGAGAATTGTAGAAGAGCAGACTTAGAAGATAAAACACCTGATCAGCTAAATAAACATTATCGATTATGTGCCAAACACTTTGAGACCTCTATGATCTGTAGAACTGTAAGTAATGGGGGTTTGGATTTTTTTATTTGTTCTTTAAGTATTTGGTTGGAATGTAAACCTTTATTCTGTTAATTGAAGTTTATTCTTATGTACCCTACTTTTGTCTTTGTTTTTTAAGATGACAGATTTGGAGCTGGATAGTATTTATGTTTTTAAAACCTGGGTTTTATTTACCTCGTCCTTTTTCTAATGCCCTGTACCTATTCTTCAGAGGTAGCCACTTTTAAATTTCTTATATGACCTTTAAAAATTTTTAGGTGGTTGTAAAATTGTATGTTTATATAAGTTAAAGTTGGCACTTTTTAATTAGAGTAGCTTCTCTAAAGCTTTTTTATGATTGGTACCTTTATTTAGGAATGGAGTTCTTTGTTTCATAGTTACTATTAGAACTAATCCTTAATTTTTATGTGTTAGATATAACAGGAAGCTAATAATACAGTTAATGTGAGAATTATTTACATCATTGATTTGCAATTTTACATCAGGGCCTGGGTTTCTCAACCTTGCTTTGTTAATTGTGAACTTGGCTAAGTCCTTCCCTTCTCTGGGCCTCAATTTTTAATGAGATTAGACCAGATAATTTCTGAGGTATAATATTTTTTTAATACTCTGATTTTATTATTGCTATGCTTAAAAAATGACTCGATAGAGCATATTTGATTAAAATGAAACTTGAAACACTTTCCTTGGGAAGTCAGCTTTGTTAAATAATAGTCCTATTTTGGTATAACCAATAATACATCTCAGATATTGAGAGGGATACAAATTGGATTTGAAGGCATACTATATATTGTTAAGTGGCAATTTATTTTGATGTTTTTTCATTCCCTGGAGAAAAAATTATTTTGTTTGGCTTATTCTTTGAACATACTTTAATAATCAGCTTTGAAACTATCACCTCTTCCAAGTAACGTTTTAAAAATAAAGTGTTTTGTCTTCTCAGTGGAAATTTGGAAAGAAATTAGATACACTTTCTTGGGCTAGTTGGAGAGGAATGTAGTAGCAGTCACTCATGTTATCTACCTCTAATAAACATTTGCCCCGCACCTGAAGACCTCTAGGCTGGTTTTAAGAAGACACACTGTCTACATTTACATTCAGCTTCTTAGCCATGCTTGGTTAATAAATCAGGAATTAATGTAGAGAGTGATCGTCCTTTAATGGTAAGAACATTAGGATTAGAAGGGAATTTAAAATACCTGGCTCAGTGTTTGCAATAATATGATTGTGTATATTACTTATGATTTCAGGTGGCAAATGAATTAATTTTTATTTTAGAAGTTTTACAATGTGTGCTGGAAATACAACTAGCCTGTCAAATCATTATATAATTTTACTGCTTAGGACAATTTTAACTAAAAAGCTGATAGTAAAAATACATATGATGGTATAACTGAAATGACAGCAATTATGATCATTAGTGTGAATAATTTCATTTTGGGAAATGTTGATCTAGGCCAGTCTCTGAAATTTATTCAGAAGCGGAAATTGATGTCCAAAGAAGGAAGGTTAGAAAGAAGGTAATACAGCAAAGAAGGTAATATAACCAGGGTCTCAGTGAATCACTGATAAAGTTTGTACTAGTTCTTAGGTCTCCTGGTTCCCAGTCCAGCATTACTTCACTGTGCCTTGATGCTTCTCAGTTAGCAAAAATGGAGTCAGTACAGATAAAAGAGGGAAGTGATATTATAGAATATACAAGAGGATAGATTCTTTGGGAAGTGCTTGTGCTTATTGTAGATTTGGTGCGTTCATACACAAACAGAACAGATAAAGTAGGTGGGAGACTGAATTAGAAATGTACATGCAAAATGCAGCTACATTTTTTAATGGTTCAGTTCCTTAATTTATAATAGTAGAGTGCCAGAAAGGCAAATGCAAAAAGAGTTAGGAATAATACCCTGATCATCATCAATTCTGCAAGTCGCTATATTTTGGAATAGGAGTTTCAAGAATATTGGGGAAGTCATTACTTTAGCATTGTATTGAAGTGTAGTACATTCTTAGGGACCATCTCTAATTAACATTGTTTTCTTTTTCAGAGTCCATATAGGACAGTTCTTCGAGATAATGCAATACCAACAATTTTTGATCTTACCAGCCATTTGAACAATCCACATAGTAGACACAGAAAACGAATAAAAGAATTGGTATGTCAGCATGCTTTCACCTTTCCCACCTTCCATGATGTTAAGAAAGCAATAGATGCACTCAGGCACCTCAGTTGTTTCCTCTTTCAAAAGTGGCATTGTGAGAAGTGCATATTAGGTTATTAACGAAGTAGCCTAGATGTATAGGGGATTATCTTAGTATTTAAATTGGAAAATCTCCTTCAAATTTAACCAGTGATTTTCATAGACTTGGACTAAAGTGTCTTCTTAATTGCAGTCTATGAGTTCATTGTCTTTCTGGGAAGAGGGGGTAAAAATCCTCTTTTGTAACAAAGAAAATGGAGTTATATTGCCAGAATTCAGCACAATGGAGTAAAGAAAGAAAGTATTAAAGTCAAGATATGGACAGAGTTAAGGATTTCATTAAGTACCGACAAGTCTTTACAGAAAGCTTTTAAAATCTCTGAATATGCTGTCATCATTTGTACAAGTTTTTATATTCTGATAAAATTTATTTCTGCTGATTGAAACATACCTGGTTTTTGTTGACCTTAGCAAAATTAAATCTTAGATTCTTTAGTCCATGGCTTTCTCTCTTGCTGCCATCAGCAAGACACTAATTTTATTATTTTTCTTTTTTCCACTGCCCCCATTCCCATTGCTCCTATCTTTTTGATATCCACACTAGTTGTTTAATATATGTCATGTCAGTTTCCCTAGATAACACTTACCTTGTCTCCCTCATTTTTTTTCTTTTGTCTTTTCCTCATTTACCTTTCATATTTAGAACTATTTAGAACTTGAGTTTCTATGTTTCTATGTATGGTGTCTAGTACAGATCTAATACATATTTTTAAGATTATTTATGCATACAAGAGCTGGGGTACAGGCCAGATGTGCAGGGTGTGAGAGGATTCACCAGAGATAAAGTGAGGAGCAAAACAGACAGATCTACTGAAATACTCTGGGAGCAGCAGGCAAGAGAAGAGAGGTCTGTTGTGCCATGTGGGTCAGCTCCCTGTCCAGGGATTAAACTCATGCCTCACTGGTTATGGATAGCTTTGTAGTTCTGATACTTAACCCTTTGTTCCACCAAGGAGACCCCTACAAATCTATTTTTTTATTTTTTGTTCTTGTAGAGAACCAGTTTCCCCAACATGGTCTGTTAATCCATCCTTTTCTCCACTGGTATAAAGTGCCACTTTTGTCATGTGCCAAATTTATGTATAGTAAGGCTGATTCTTTAGATCTAGTGTTTTGCATCTGTATTGCTATTAAAGTCTGATTGCTGCCTGATTCTTGTTCCTTTTTAGGGGCTGTTTTTTTCTCCCTCAAAACTTCTGGTATTTTTCTTTATATGTTACATTTTAAATTTCTCTAGGAATTTTAATATAGAAAGGAGACTTCAGGCATTTCTTTGATTCTAATTACTTACGTTTTGCGAAAAGCTTCACATAGATGAATGTTGATACCACACAACAGTCTTCCACATCAGCTTTCTTCTTAGTAAAATATACTAGGGATGTGGAGCCCATCCATATGCCATCATGATGTAACATTCATTATCTAGTATTCCATCCTTCAAGAAACCCCACATACTGACGTCAGGCACACTCGTCCATATCTGCCAGCCTTGACTCTGCAGCCTGCGGGAGGAGGAGTAAATGTGCAGTTTGTTGACATTTTTGCTGCCCAGCAATTACCCTGCTCTTTCCAGCTACCAATCATACTGCTGCTTTCCTGCCACAGAATACTACTATGATCCTCAGCTTTGTAGCAGGTTGGGGGTAGAGGAAAGGACACAGCTGGAAAGTTCTCACTTTAATCCGTGGCCGTAACCACTTGGCCCTTTAAAGTGTATGCACCCGTTTCTCTTCCACACTGGCATTCTTACTTTCTGTTTCCCCAGAATTTCTTGTAGCCTTTTTTTTAGGTTCTGGGATCCAGCGATCTCCTCTTACATGGCATCCGATGGAGTTACATTGGTGTGGGTGGGGAGGCAGATTTTTGTCCCCCTGCATTTGACACACAAGTGCCATGGTCCACTTTAATGCATTTCATTAACCAGTAACCACTTGTAACCCAAGTTATGATAATCTGTTATAAAATAAATTAGGTGATATATCTTTGTCCTTTGATATTTTATTATAAGCTTGGGTACATTAGCATATTATTGTTTTGGTTTTACTGTCACCATTTGTTTGAAAAAATGTATTAAATAAAAAAAATTATGCTCTTGAAATAATTCATTTTGACTCAAAAGAAGCTTTTTAACTTGTAAGTCTATGATGATCAAGTTCTCTGTTCTAAAGATGGTGTGGGTTTTCTTTTGTCATTTAGAGTGAAGATGAAATCAGGACACTGAAACAGAAAAAAAGTAAGTGATACTGTTAATGACTCAACTTCTGAATGCCTTTTTAAAAGGCCTTGACCTGGTAAGGACAAATAAATATGTTTATGTCCAAAATCTACTGTGAGAATGGATATGAGTGTGGTAGGCATTATTTTTTACCCTGAAATCGTCAGACTGAAGTCTTCTGTTTGTCTTATTGAGTGGTGCTATGCCACACACTGTGACTTCTCCCCATTAGGTGCTCCCAGTGTGAGGAAGCAAGGGCAGTGAGGATAGGAACAGAATCTGTCTCCCAGGGTATGGTCCATAACTTCTTGGTCACTGTTTAAGGAATAAATGCTGTGGAGACATTGAGTGTTATATAGAGGGCAGGAGTTAAACAACAGCCTTTCTGCAAGTGCTGGTGCTTGAGCTGTGTCATCAAAGGATGATGACTAGAAGTTCTTGTTTAGAAGTTTCTTCTTGTCAGTTATTACCATGATTCCTCCTCCTCTAGCTCCTGCTATGATTATTAACATATTTTTATTGCATGCTTACGGTGTACCAAGTCATTATTCTAAGTGCTTTACTTAAGTTCATTCATTTAATTCTCACAATATCCCTGAGGTAAGTACTGTTTTCCCCTTTAAAGACAAAGACACAGAAACTCAGGCAAGAAAAGAAGGGCATTTTGTGTAGAAGCCAGGGGCCTTGAAGCACAGTTTCAGATTTGGGGACTACACTCCTTTTGTAATTGGAGCTTCTGCTACCCCATGATGATTGTTAGAAAATGAGTCTAGAGGGGGCCACAGGGACCAGAGCTACAGGATTTATGTATACCATAGGCAGGGTATTTACCCTCAGCCTTTCCACATCCAAATGTGAACTAGACTAAGATATTCTAGTGTTAGCCCTAGAGTCTATATGAACATCCTTGACCATATTATTTATTAATAATGTATGCAAATAAATACATAAATCAATAAATATTCTATTGATTGGCAAAACTTTGATAGCTTCTATGAGAGATTAGCGCGTGGTTTGATAAGGGAGGGAGCTCATTGTGGACCTTGGAGCAAGACAAGCTTGGATTTGAATTTCACTTCCATCCTTCTAAATGCAGTTGTGACTTTGAGCAATTATTTATTGCTCTCATTTGTTAAGTGGGTTGTGTTACCACCTGCCTGACCAGAGTAATGTGATAAATAAAATACCAACACTGTGCCTCAATAAGTAATAGTTTTCTTCCCTTTTCTGAGGTCGTAGACTGTCTATTATTACTCTTACAATAAGTGAAACTCCTTGTTAAATTTCTAAAAAGTCATTTCTATTTTATAATAGCATTTACGATTAGGATTAAAATATTTCTTCGCTCACTGTTCCCTCCAAAATTTATTGTGCCTGAATTTCATCTCAGTGCCCTTAGTCTGTGGTCTAGTTTGGTGCCCCATTAATGTTGAATGAATGGGTTTGTGGATTTTAATTTTTCAGTCAAAAATGTAGTTTTTGTTTGTATGGTTCCCCATGCACTGTTTATAAGATTAATTCTTTGTTTTTCAGTTGAAGAAACTTCTGAACAGGAGCAAAAACATAAAGAAATAAACAACAGCAATGCTCAGAACCCCAGTGCAGAAGAAGGGTGTGAAGAACACGATGAGGACATTTTACCATTAACCCTTGAAGAGAAGGAAAATAAGGAATACCTGAAATCTTTATTTGAAATTTTGATTCTTATGGGAAAACAAAATATACCTCTGGATGGACATGAGGCAGATGAAATCCCAGAAGGTCTCTTCACTCCTGATAACTTTCAGGCATTGCTAGAGTGCCGGATAAATTCTGGTGAAGAGGTTCTGAGAAAGCGCTTTGAGACAACAGCAGTAAACACATTGTTCTGTTCGAAAACACAGCAGAAACAGATGCTAGATATTTGTGAGAGCTGCATCCGGGAAGAAACCCTCAGGGAAGTAAGAGACTCTCACTTTTTTTCCATTATCACTGATGATGTAGTGGACATAGCAGGGGAAGAGCACCTTCCTGTGTTGGTGAGGTTTGTTGATGAATCTCATAACCTGAGAGAGGAATTCGTGGGCTTTCTGCCTTATGAAGCTGATGCAGAAATTTTAGCCGTGAAATTTCACACTACAATAACAGAGAAGTGGGGACTAAACATGGAGTATTGTCGTGGCCAGGCATACATTGTGTCCAGTGGATTTTCTTCCAAAATGAAAGTTGTTGCTTCTAGACTATTAGAGAAATACCCTCAAGCTATCTACACACTTTGCTCTTCCTGTGCCTTAAATATGTGGTTGGCCAAATCAGTGCCTGTTACAGGAGTATCTGTTGCATTAGGAACAATTGAGGAAGTTTGTTCCTTTTTTCATCGATCACCACAACTACTATTAGAGCTTGACAGTATAATTTCTGTCCTCTTTCAGAGTAATGAAGAAAGGGGTAAAGAACTGAAGGAAATTTGCCATTCTCAGTGGACAGGCAGGCATGATGCTTTTGAAATTTTAGTGGACCTCCTGCAAGCACTTGTTTTATGTTTAGATGGTATCAATAGTGACACAAACATTAGATGGAATAACTGCATAGCTGGCCGAGCATTTGTGCTTTGTAGTGCAGTAACAGATTTTGATTTCATTGTTACTATCGTCGTTCTTAAAAATGTTCTGTCTTTTACAAGAGCTTTTGGGAAAAATCTCCAGGGGCAAACTTCTGATGTCTTCTTTGCCGCCAGTAGCTTGACTGCAGTGCTACATTCACTAAATGAAGTGATGGAAAATATTGAAGTTTATCATGAATTTTGGTTTGAGGAAGCCACAAATTTGGCAACCAAACTTGATATTCAGATGAAACTCCCTGGAAAATTCCGTAGAGCTCAGCAAGGTAACCTGGAATCTCAGCTGACTTCTGAGAGTTACTATAAAGAAACTCTAAGTGTTCCAACAGTGGAGCATATTATTCAGGAACTGAAAGATATATTCTCAGAACAGCACCTGAAAGCTCTTAAGTGCTTATCTCTGGTACCTTCTGTCATGGGACAGCTCAAATTCAACACATCGGAGGAGCACCATGCTGACATGTACAGAAGTGACTTACCCAATCCTGACACGCTATCAGCCGAGCTGCACTGTTGGAGAATTAAGTGGAAACACAGAGGGAAAGACATAGAGCTTCCATCCACCATTTATGAAGCCCTTCACCTGCCAGATATCAAGTTTTTTCCTAATGTTTACGCACTGCTGAAGGTTCTTTGTATTCTTCCCGTCATGAAAGTTGAAAATGAACGCTATGAAAATGGGCGAAAGCGTCTGAAAGCATACCTAAGGAACACTTTAACAGACCAAAGGTCAAGTAACTTGGCTTTGCTTAACATAAATTTTGATATAAAACATGATCTGGATTTAATGGTGGACACATATATCAAACTCTACACAACTAAACCTGAACCTCCTACAGATAATTCGGAAACCATTGAAAACACCTAAAAGACTTTTAAAATAGGCTTTCTCCTATATTTGACATTTGAGAAAATCTGAATGGAATTTGAAAACATTTTACAGAAAAGCTGTAAGGTGATATAGGCCTCTTAATCACTGAGTATCTTGATGTATAGTTCTCCCATTGAGTACATTATCCATTGGCAATCTGCCTGTTTAAGTGGCCCAGGCTGAACTCATGCTTTGGAGACCTACTGTCTTTCCAGAAGATAGCTTGAAAGTGCTACTTACACTTGTGTGTGAGTTCTGCTAGTGGCACTTTGAAACTGTTTTAGTTTAGTCATTTTAGATACAACATTATCACTGTGGATCCATTTGTCAGGTCTTGAGGTATCAGTTCTTTGGAGAAATTTGAGGACGGGATACATTGTATAAAATGTTACCTTGAAGCTAATGACTGAGGAGTCTTAACGGTCTTGTTAAAAATCTATAATGGATAGTTCAGGGAATTACTAGATAGTGAGAGGAGGAGTGTGTGAGCTTGCCAAATGAGGGCTTTGGTGTAGATTTTATCTTTTATTAAATGAACTGGAAAGGACAAGTTACAGTTTGAAGGGGAGAGCCTGCTGTTCCACTTCTGGCTGTTGCTGTTTACATTCCTTTGCTGAGCCTACATCTTTGTAAGCTTCTTAGCAGGTGTATGTCGAAAGCTTCTGTTTCATGGTCGGGACAGGATCGGAGGCCATGGATACGGACAACTGATTTGTCTGTTTTCTTATGTCTTTTTTCCATGACTGTGTCTACTGCCTCGTCTTGATTTATAAGCAAATCCTGGAAAACCTACAAAAATAAGTCTTTTGTGGTTTATCTAGGAAGAATACAGAAAATATTGCTGTTATTTTTGGTGAAGAAAATCAATTTTGTATAGTTTATTTCAGCCTAAATAAAATGTGAATTTTGTTTAATGTTTAAGTACTTTTTGTTGTTGGGAAGAAGACATTGTTGTGGTAAATTTACTTTTCAAAATTTTTTTATTTGCACAATTGCAGATGAGTCAGTTTTTGTCTCCCCCCCCCCCCCCCCCCCCCGTTTATGGTTTACTGTTTGGGATAAATGTAAGACTTTATTTAACTATTTACTGGATGGCTCCTAATATAAATTATCAGGATATATGCAACTGGACTGAATGAATACAACTGCAAAGATGTCACTGGATTATTTTATGTTGGAAAGTTAGTGTTACTTGAATTTCAGAAAACAAAATGAGCACATTTACTAGAGTACTGGATCTTAATAGCTGGTATTTCTGTTATGCACAAGCCTGGCAGATGTGTTAAATTAGAACATCATGTCCTGCAATTATATAAATGATAGCAAGCATATAACTTGGCCAGAGGTCTAAGAAGTTCTTTTGTCCTTGGCAGAAAGACTAGTCAGGTTCATTATGACAGTAAAGGAGACACAGAGATGGACTTTTAATAACTGCATCATTCTTAGGACAATAAAGTGGTGTGACGCTGGCAGTTAAAGACTTGGGTATGATTCCTCAGCTTTAAGACCTTGCTTTTGGTTGTGCTTTGAGGGTTAGATAATTTACCATCAGTTACTTATTACTACTTAATAATGTCCTTAGTGATTTAAAAAAAAAAAACAATCTATTTCTTGTATGTTTTGAGTGGCTCTCAGTTTCATCTGGGCTCTGACTTAAGCTGGCAGATTGATTGGGGAAGGGTGGGACAGCAGGACCCTCCATGGGGTCTTTCATCTATCTTGTGCTTCATAGCATGAAAGTCTTGGTACCAAGAGAACAAGGGCAGCAACTTCAAAGCCAGGGCTCCTCAAAGACTTAAGGGAATGTCACTTTCACCACATTCTTTCGTTAAAGCAATCATTAGGGTGGGCCAGATTCAAGGGGTGAGGACATAAAACTCAGCTTGATGGAGAGAGCTGCACAACATGGCCTCATTTTTCAGTCTGCCATAATTATCTAAGACATCATGCAGCCAGCATTGGTTAAAAGCTCTTATGGTCCCCAATATTTGTTTTTATAATGTTATGTTAATTAACTTGTGGATTTGGGGAAGCTTAAATTCCCTTGTTGAGAGACATTTTCACAAACTCTGATCTTTTAAGGTAGCATGAATTGTTTTGCCAGATGAAAGTCTTTTTTGCAAAATTAGTTGAAAAGCAGAAGGTATAGTGACTGTTCCACTATTAGTTGAATGTTGTAGCTAGGTTTCGCATTTAAGAACTGACAGTACCAGATACACTATGCTGGGGGCTTACAGCCTGGAGTAGGCTCCCAGGACTACACTTGTACTTACTTACTGACTTAAGTGAGTCAAATATAATGAAATTAAGGGAAGGAAAATAGCAGGTTACTGTAAAAAGAAACTGTGCAATTAAAAAAAGAACTTTGTCTAAACAATATGCAAAATGTACTGGGGAATATACTTAGGATTTAGACTACCTAATCGGGGGAATTTTTGCTCTTGGCATAGCGATTCATTTGGGGGCCGGGGGGTATGTTGTACTTTTTTTTTACGTTAGGATGGATAGTTGGAGCCTAACAGAATTTGGTGCCTGTAAAACAAATTTAAGTTTCAGAAAACTCAATTGTGAACAAATGCTTTATTATCAGGTAATTTTCATATAACTCTTAATAGTTACTCTTTAAGGATAGACAGTAGTTGATGGATGAGACCACTTCTCTTGAGGCCAGTTCTGCTTTAGCTTAGTTGGATCTGGTTTATTTTTGTTCAGTGTTAGGATCAGCCCCTTTTTAAGTGCTATTTAAAGTGAGCAATTAGCGCCTCCCTAGTGGCCCAAGGGGTTAAGTCTCAGCACTTTGAAGCTATCTGCAGCCATGGCAGCACCAGGGGTCAAACCCCCACGGCACAGCAGACCTCTCCTGCCTCACCAGCTGCTCCCCTCAGCAGTGTATTTCATCAGTCCTTTCTGCTCCCCACTCTGTCTCTGGTGAATCCTCTTAACCCCTGCACCTCTGGCCTACACCCCAGCTCTAGTATGCATAAATAAATCTTTTTAAAAAATCATTAAATACAGGGAAATTGTACTTACAGTGTTTATTAATATTTATATTTTAGGGTTTAAAAAACACTTGCTATATTGTTGAAGTTCTCAGAAAAGTTCAGGCAACTATTACTCTTTTTAGTTGAGAAGTTAAGCTAAATGAATTGCTCCAAATTATATAGCTATTAAGTGCCAGAGCCAGGTACTTTAATCCAGTCCTTCAATCTTAAAATTGATTGTGAAAGCCACTTCATTCTTAAGGTTTGTAAAAGAAATATTTGCTTTAGGAATGAACTTTTTTTATGTTCTTGCTTTATCCATTGCCAGCTTTCAGCACAGCATCTTTAAAATGTACTCATTATAGTCTGCATGAGTTCCTTGCAAAAAAAAAAAAAAACAACCAAAAACTGAGGCCTGGAACTTCTGAAACTTTACAAACTGGGTGTAGAAATGCTGCCACCTTTGTTTGGCTGCCAAGACACTACCAGAGAGGACTGTAGGTCCAGGGCCACTTACTTCACGAGAGTGGGTGCAGCTGTCTTGCCACAATCAAACACTCCTCTGTAGCCAGCTTTTGGGGGCCAGAAAAAGCAAGGTAATTTTTAGTACAGATTAGCATAAAAATCTCTAGTAGATCAGTTTCAGGAAACAATTACTTGCTTAGAAACAACAATAAGTGATCTATAGTTTGGCTAAAATGGCAGTTAATTCCCAGACCTTTTAAAATGGCCCTTATTTCTCACCATGAATACTATGTAAATAGAATACCCTACCTGCCACCATATTTAGTTTCATAAATTATTTGGACAAGGTGAACAACAGACTTCAAAACTAAGTAGTGGTAGTAAATCTGCCCTTTTTAATGAGTTTGAATTTACAGTAGTACTTTAGACATCTGGAAGTTTAAAGTCTTTAATTCATTCCAAATGTTCAACAAGTATATATAGCAAAGAGAATATTGTAATTGGGGGATCAAGAAAACTCCCGTTGACTCAAACTGAAGCCTTTCTAATTTTCTCTATGTGCATTAATCACATACAACTTTAGGGGCTGACAGTTCAAAAAGAAAAGAGATGGACCCAAACACCCAACTTAGCGTGCTTATAACTTAAAAGAGGGCATGGTGCATGGTTATAACAACGATGAGGTTTAAATGCTGTTAACACATTTGGGATGTGGCCAGATCATCCTGCTGTGTTCTATGTTTGGTGCTGCTTGTGAGAGGGGACAGCTGGGGGGCACAGGCTGGGAGAGTAAAAACGGGTACTAAAACAATTTAGAGGAGTCAAACCTTTTGACTTTTAAATTGTAATTTTGATTAATGCATTTTGTAATTCAAGACTCTGCACTGTAGTCAGCATCTAGCCTGAAATTAAGTATTTAATATGGATTGAGCCCCTACTGCGCGCTTCATGAGTGTTCTAATTAAATTAGCAGGGTTGCTGCGGCAGGAGGAATGGTTGTGAAGCCTCACTGTGCGCTGGGTCTTGTGCTGTCACCTTGCTTTCGTTACCTCACTTAATGCTCCACCTATGAGAAAGGTATTTCTCCATTTTTCAAACCACAGAACTATTGAAAGGTAGAACAGCATGATGTAAAGATTTGCAAGTCTAATTTGTCCCTTGAATTTGCTTTTCTATTTTCAAGTATTAATACATGCCTCCAGGGTTTAATCTGGCTTCAGGTACGATGTTAGGTGTCATAGACACAAAGATGAATGAGGCAGAGGTAACAAGGAACCACCTTTGGGAATGGTGCATAGTGTGGGACCTAATATTTCTACCTCAGTGAAGTGTGACTGCAAACTTAGTATTAGAAATAAACCCCTATAATGTGTGACTCATTTACCACCCCCTAAAAAGTAGTTACTACTTGAGGTTTTCAAGGTACCCTATTAGATGTAAGACCTACTTCTTCCATAAGCCAGTGCTATACATAATAAGCTGTAAAATCTGCACAGAATTTAAAGCTAGGAAGTCTTGGAGAGTATAGACAGCACCTTGTTTTACAGAGGACTAGACAGGGCAGTTTGCTTAGGGTCACACTACTTGGTGGTGGCACACAAGGGGAGAACAGAAGCTGTGCTCTGTCACACCACACAGACGTGACTGAAGACGGAAACCCTGGAAGAATCATTGCTTGGTAGGTGAGCAGTGTCTGCCTTTAAATTGTTATTAATGTGAACAGTAGTCCCATAAGGATATCAAATTTATAGGAGAGGTTTATTCAATAGGCCAGAGTCTGGGTTTGGGGCAGGTTTCTCTTTTGCATTTCTATAAAGTTTTAAAAAGATTTGTTATTGCTTACACTTGTTTGGCAAATTCCTATTTTGGTTTGATCATTTTTCTTTGGAAGGGTATGTGTAGTTAGATTATGAATTTGCAAAAGTCTCTTAGAAGGTGAGATGTTGAGAGCTTTGTGTCTCCTGGGGTTTGGCCTTCCTCTTGTTAATAACAGCTATTATCTACTGGCACTTATAAACACCAAACATGTATCTACTTTGAATCATTCCATTTAGGTTCACAATGATCCTATGAGTAGATATTGTTATACTCATGAATCTGAAAATGACTTGTCTGAAGCCACTCAGTGGAGGAGTAAGAATCATACCCATCCAGCTGGTTCTGATAGGCTGCGCTTCAGAGTAGAAATAACCTATTTTTAAAAATGTATGAAAAGTCTGGGCAAAGGGGAGGAGGAGTGGGTTTACAACAAAATACTGTTTGTCTCTAGTTGGTGAAAGTATGAGGAATTACACATTTTCTTTGACATTTCGATTTTCCAAATGTTCTGTTTTCCTCATCTTGGAAGGATTAAATAACATTCTCAAGTAGGAAATTGAAGATTAGTTACATGAGACCATTTTTCTTCTAGATGATTTGTTACTACTTTCCCAGGTCAGCTTAACACATAGTATGCCAGGTGTTTGGCTA